GTACTGGCGAGAAAAGAGGTAGTTGAAGGGGGTAACGGAGAGGAGCACGTACAGAGAGAGAGACAGAGAGAGAGAGAGAAGAGAAGGAAGAAGGTGGTCGGAGGAATTACCGGTTCGTTGGCTAACTGGCTTCATAGAAGAAAAACCTCTTTATATCTCGCGCGCACGTACGTAAGCTGGTAGCGTGGCTGAAAAACGCGCCTTTAAACCTCGAGTTTCATCGAATACACCCCGTGTACGAGTGGTGCGCGAAACAAAGCCACCGGAAATCGCCCGAGTGGTACTCCGGCTTGCCTGGCGCCATCTTGTACACGGCTACCGGCTACGATGGGGAACGCACGCTCTTTGCTCCCTTATTGTTCTTGTCGTCAGGTAGTTGCGCCATATTCGAACATCTCCCGCCTTTCTTCTTTCCCTTTTTTTTCTTTCCCCTCTCTCCGTCTCTTTGTTTTCTGCCTCGTTCGTGTCCTCCTCCTTTCTCGCAAGATGCCTTGAGACAAATGACGGAGTGCCGAAATTATGGCCACTTTGATATCGAGGCGCTGTCGTTTGGAAATTGGAGATGACGTTAAGCGATGAGTTCTTGATGCTCATTAAGAGAGAGAGCGAGAGAGAGAGAGAGAGAAATTGTAATTGGAAAAAAAAGATAACTTATCACCATCTTCATCCAGTTTCATTTGTTATAGATTGAACTGTCGATTTTTTGGCATTAGTCTTGAAGTCTTCAGTCTAAAAAAATTCCTATGATATTCATCGGGTTTGTACTTGATTTAATATATGTATTATGTTCCATTCGCTACTCACAGTATCAGTCTGTCCAACTCTCTTCCATTTGAAATTCCATTCAACTCAAGCGTTTGAAATCATCTATTCTGATATTCTGAAAGCCACCCAATAAGCCAACCTTGACCGTCCCGTTTCCCTTTTCTCTTTTCCTTTTTAAATATCGAAATCGCTATTCGTTCCTCTTGCGCAAACATTATTCCTCTCGAGCAGTCCCTCTAGTCTTATATGCTTAGGTGGGTGTAGGTAAACATTGTATAGCACGTGTAAGTAAAAGGTAAGCTAAATAAACGTCTTCTCCTTCCTCCCCGTCTCTTCTCTCTCTCTCTTTCTCTCTTTCTTTCCTTTTTTTCTTTTTCGTGCTCGGATACATGCCAGCAGGAGCGTGTACGAAGTGTCTCTTACCAGCACTGGTGCCTTTTCATTCGAGTTAGTCGGTTGGTCTCGCCTCTCGAGGAAAGCGGAGGCTAAAGGGTTTCGATTTCCGTGCCACGACCGCACAACTCTTTTTCACTCTCAGCCGCGGAAGAGAAAATTTATATATACATCTATGTATGTGTATGTGTATGTGTATATACATATATACACGCCGCGCGAATTCACGCGGTTTCCTTTTAATTTCTAATCCTTTGGATGGAAACCGCGCCATTGCCTCCACCGTGAAAATTGTCTCGCCGACGCCGACCTGCAATCAAGATACTCGTCTAAATCTTTCACGGCTGCGCAAACTCGCAGCTCTCGTTCTAGAACTGGCTGCGCCCCAACGGAGGACAATCAAAGAACAGAGGGCGAGCACTTCACCAGCATTTATCCGTTCCTTTTTCGTTACCCTAAAATTTCATTTTTTCCTCCTCTCGTCGTCAGTCCATTCCAGCTGGAAGGATTCTCTCTCTCTCTCTCTCTCTGCGTCTCTGTACTCTCCGTGAACGAATAGACTCAGCTTTGGCGAGATCTTCGACGCTGAAAAAAAAGAAAAAAAGAAAAAAAAAATGAAAAAAACGACAACGCGCGAAGGGAAAAAATGGGGCTAGATAGCCGAGAGGGTGGTTACGGGGAGACGGGGAGACGAGGTCGGCCGGGAAAGTGTAATTTCAGTTTGAAACAGGAACGGGAGAGGCCGACCCACATCGAGGCTTCGAGTGTTTGTATTGCTGACGCGGCGATCCAATCCAATCCAATACCCATGGCGGATAGGCAACACACGGCGCATATACTACCTACGTATGAATGTATCTGCCTCTCTCCTGCCGCCCCTGCTCTCTCTTCCCTCCTTTTCCCGTCTGCTTTCCCAGTACAATTTCGCGGGGGTTCGGCGACGGTGCGGGGGCGGAGCTTTCATTTTGTAATTAATTGTCCGCCATTTTCCAACATCGGAAAATCATTTTTTTTTTTTTTTTTTCCCACCGCGCGGCAACCGCGACTCTTCCAATTGAACTAGCTACGGCCACACGCGGATCCTCCTCTTTTTTTTGTGTCCCAGCGCCGGAGATGGAAACGTAGGGATTTTAGATTATCGTCACCTACATGCGCATACTGTTGTGGAGGAGGAGATTTCAAGTTAGAGAAATAAAAGTCTTTAAAATGTATTCAACGCTAGAACTACCAAAATGGTCATGACCAATGTATAACTTTTTGCAGAATCATGATGTCGCATTTTTTAGAGATTGTAAAACGACTATTGTAAACTATATACGAGTGAAGCTTTGTGTCCCTCTGTTGTATTATGAATTTCTTTCCGCCACCTTAATCGTCGGTGGTTCTAGCGTTAATATTTAGATTCAATATTCTTTAAATTATTTATCTGAGAAAACGTAGCAGCTCTCTTCCAAGATTTCTCCCCCCCCCCCCTTCGAAGTAACTGATTCTAATTTCCACCTAGAAAATATAGAATTGAACATGGAATTTCAGTAGTGTTCGTTGTATATAATATTTGTGTACGCGCTTGAGAAAAAGAATTCTTGCACATCGAGGATGGAGGGAGGGCTGGAAACAGAGAAATTAATATCCGTAACGAAACTCGAAGCGTAGATCCGTCTAATTAAATACCTGAGCGTGGCGAACGATCGTCGGCGACCCTCGGGAGAGATGGGGTTGAAGCGGTCAGCCGTGGGGGCCGCGTGCGTGCGAGTCGGCTGCTATTATCATAAACGCAACAATAACGAGGGATGATCCGACGTGTAAACTGTTAAACCCTCCTCCCCCTTGGCTCTTTCTTTTTTTTCGGCGAGGGTGAGGATTACCGTGGGGGCCCATCGAACCACCACCGTTCCCGGGGCTGGAATCCACAGGGGATGTTATTGTTGCTACAGAGAGAGAGAGAGAGAGAGAGAGAGAGAGAGAGAGAGAGAAAGAGAGAGAGAGAGAGAGAGAGAGAGAAAGCGGTCGTCGAGCTGCTGGAAATAGAGACAGTGTGTAACTGTTAGGCTAGAAATCTACCGGACCAACCCCCTCTCTCCTCCTTCGTTCAACCCTCGATAATATTGACGGTGTTTGCCGCCTCCTATTACCAGCTCGATTGAACCAAACTATACGATTATCATGCGTCACTGATAGTCTCTCTAGATTCGACAAGGTCCCGAGTCCTACGAGCAGAAAGAAAATCTTTGTTGACTTAGTACTTGAATGACAATTTCCCAAGACGAGATAAGAAACGTTGATCAAAGAGAGAAAGAGAGCGATAAATAGTCATTCGGTTATAGAAAAGAAGAATTGGGCAACTATGCGAAATAATGGAATCATTTAAAGGAATGATCATTTTTGGTGTCTGTCTATTATTGGACACCTTAGTTCTCTCTCTTTTCTCCATCACATCTCCATTGACACGCACGCATTGCATCCAAATGGATTTAATACAAACTTTAATACAAAATGACGAAGAGTCTCAGAAACGGTTGAACAACGGTTCAATCGTAGACAGTCGTTTCGAATATAGCCTTTAAGCCGGAGCAAGTGGTTCGATGGTCCCTTGGTTTAAATGCATTCATAGCCAGACAACGAGTGACGCTCGCACGTGGAATACATGAATACGAAATTCTTGAACTTCATTACCGGAACGGTTTCTGCCGTGGCAGTACTTGGTTCGCCAAGTCGTGAAACCACGGCCCGGATAGTACTTGCAGCACGATGCCCGACCCCATCGACCATGGGTCTGTACACAGCGAGCCGAGTTTTATCGACGGCGCGCAGAGCTCCTCCGCGGGTAGCTTATAATCAATTCAATTAAAATTGATTTCCACTCGTCGCGATACATCAAACAAAACGGGCCGTTGGTCCCTCCTCCTCCTCCTCCTCCTCCCTTCCTCCTTTCTCTCTCTTCTTTTTTTCAATGCTCTCGCCTGTATCGCTCTCTTATTTCGTACTTGCCCCTTGACTACCGTAAAAAGCATGATCTCGTGATTCGAAACCGAGTTATAAATATTCAACGGCGAGAGTCAAAGACGGGGAGGTCTGGACAAATAGTTAGAAAGGGGGAGGGAGGGAGGCACTGGTAACCGTTTTGTTCTTTTGTCAGCGTCGTCATTATATTGTACCTTCAATTTTTTTTTTTCTTTTTTTTTTCCCTCCGTGGCAGTCGTGTTTACGTGGGTGTGCAACAGCGCACGAGGATTCGACTGCTGCTTCCTGCCGCCAACATCGGGGGTTGAAACGACACGATTCGTGTGTATAACCAGGGCCTATCCTTCCTTCCTTCTCTCTCTCTCTCTCTCTCTTTCTGTGGTATGTGATGCAGCGTGCGTGTCTGATTTTCCTCGTATCGCTGATGCACTCACGCAGGGTGAGACACGCGCCTACACCGGGCGCATTGCCCTTTCGAAAATCCGTTATTAGCATCGAGCCTCCATTATGACGTTTCGCGATGCTGACGAATACTTCGGCCGTCGCCGTTCCGTTCCGTTTTCGTCCTCCGTGGCTGTGCACGCGCGTTTACATACTATTCGAGGGAACACAGGACACGCGCCGCCACGCTCCAAACTCTCTCTTTCACCGCGACGTCTACGGTGAACGTTGTGCCTTCTGTTCTACGTTTCCCTCTTTGTCTTTTGCGTGTCGACGATAGACGGAGATATTCTCGACCCGAGTTTTCATTCAAGCAATTAAGCATTCAATGGTAATTCCACATGATGATGGCGAAGAGTTCGTGACATTTGGACGCGTTGCTCGTTGCATTCTGAAACCAATTGCATAGTCAGGTGTCGTTTTTTGGTTGATTGTCCCAGGTTACCAGAGTACAGACTACCAAGGAGGAAGATACGAGAGTGCAGGATCTAGCCAGCTTCCAATAACGCCTGGCCCATGGGCGAGAGGGTACGGCCTGCCTCATAATTATCAATGTTACCCGGAGTACCAGCAAACGAATAATTACAGCGGCCAACAGTATGGGCGAAACAATTACCAGAATCCGCAGTACAACAGCTACGGGTCGCAGTATAATCAGCATCGGGTAAGATTTTATTATTTCAATTTTAAATGATAACTCCTGGAACTGATGGGGCGATTAATTAACGAACCGAAGGAATGTTTCCCTTGCAAGTGAACTTTTTTTTTTATAAGAAGAATATTTGTTACAAGAATTTTCATTGAATAATATTACTTGTAAGAAGCGTTCTTACTATTTATTATAATAATATAATATTACTATGACTATATAATGTAATATTAATAATATATAATAATATAACATTACTGTTATTGTGTAATATAATATTAATAATATATACTAATATAATATTAATAATATATAATAATATAATATTACTATTATTATGTAATATAATATTATTATTACTATATAATATAATATTACTATTACTATAATATAATATTACTGTTATTATGTAATATAATATTAATAATATATAATAATATAATATTATTATTACTATATAATATAATATTAATAATATATAATAATATAATATTATTATTACTATATAATATAATATTAATAATATATAATAATATAACATTACTATTATTGTGTAATAAATAAATTAATAATATAAAAATATAATATTACTGTTATTATGTAATATAATATTAATAATATATAATATAATATTACTATTACTATATTATATAATATAATATTATCATTACTATATAATATAATATTACTATTATTATGTAATATAAAATTAACAATATATAATAATACAATATTACTATTACTATATAATATAATATTAATAATATTACTATATAATACGACATTACTCATAAGAACTATTCTTACTTCCCTTGAGTAATATTTCAAAAGTTCAAATATTCATATAAAAAAAGGTTCAGTTGAATATATATATATATTGTGTACCTGTATATAAAATGCATTCGTCGTATAAACCTGATAATTTTCTACTGTGTTCCAGAACTATTCTTCCAACTACCAGGGGAATAGCGGGGGAAGTGGAGGAGCAAACAGGGGAGGAGGCTGGAGACGGTCGTCGTAGATTTTTGTCCGACTAACGCCATCGTGGATCTGCAATTTAATTTTATAAGGAATTCCGCGTTCGAGTGATTTCTGAATTCACTCGGAATCGTGGAACTATGCTTAAGGGGCAAGGATTTATCTCACCGCGAGCGTCGTGGCGTACGTTGGTCTCATTCCAGCACTCGTTTTTCACGAAAAGATGATTTGCTGCGTTTGAACTCAGCGGCACTGTCACTCGCCTGTATAACAAATAATTGCAATTTTCTTTTTTCTTTCTTCTTCTTTTAATGGAAAGACGTAGGTTAGACGCATAATCTGATCTGCGATGGCGGCTATTATTCACAACTTAGCAACGTAAGAAACCTATCAAGTGTAATTTTATATGAATTAACTCCAGTGCAAACACACAAAAGAAAAAGAAAGGAATGTATGATATCACGATAAGGCGCTAGAAAGATTGCCATGACTTGGACTGTTGTGAAAGTTTTAAGTAGAAGTGGCAATCTTTAGGCGAGTACAATTTCTTTACCAAAATTTCATTGTACAATCAAAAATTCCAGCAATTATGTTATGTGTATCGTTGACTCGCGTGTTTATTGTCGATCAGCGCAGCTTGGTATCGTTCTTTTCGTTTTCCCTTTTTCATTTTGCGACAAAGTTCGTCGATATCGATGAATGAATCATAACACTGATAAGTTACGAGTCTCTTAACTCTAGCAAGAGTTTTCTCAAGTTCCAATGAAGATTGCTCTTGTCACTATCGATACAGGAACTGTGAATTATACAGGCATTCTGAATTATAACAACGCAACAATAACTATTGATTGTAATACAGAATATTTGACGAGACGAACATTGCCTGCTTATTTTCTTTTAGCTCTCGTCCTAATCAAAATATTGAACAAACACCTTCACGAGCAAGAAAGTTAAATCACATTGAAGAGATCGAGAAATATTTTTTTTCACGGGACATGGGATTTTGACGAGCGACGTCGTTTCGAAAAAATTTTGATTCTCTTCGTTTGACAGATTACTTTCTGTACCGAGGCCGCAGCCTCGATCGTTCGTACATATCGTTGGTGTATAATCAAGCGAGGAAATCTGTAAAGCTTTTTCATTACAACAACTTGCACGTTACACAAGGAGACTTTTATATTGTATTCACTTGAAGAAAAAAAAAAAAAAAAATATATATATATATACGATTTAGTTGGTTCTATGTTCATCAATCCTCTCGATCCAATCCTTGTCTGAAACAAAGAGAAATAAAATCAGTTCTTATCGCCGTGAAATTTCCAAGGTGTCTGTGTTTTTTGTGCACGAAAAATAAAGAAAATTTTAGGATACTGGAAGCCATAATGGCGATGAATAGCGTGGTGTGGTATCACGGCTGAAACCAGGCGGTTCGGGTACATCTGGTACCGGTCTACCAGAGCGGGCGAGCATTGAACCAGCGAGTGCCACTCGAGAAAACAATAGCGAGCAACGCTCTTGTTCTCTCTTCCCTTCTCTCTCAGTCTCTTTGGTCCTCTATTGTCACCCTGAAATCTGGAACCCATGTTGTAGAACCGTTTCATCGAAACCACGCTCGATCTCTTTAGTCGGACAAACTTTGCAAAATCGGCGCAGATTTCGTTTGCGACATGCTGATTAGAAAACGCGACGCAACGCGACGCGACGCGTAGCAGAGAGAGAAACATTTCTGTCTTGATTCTTTCCTAGAGAATTCTCTCTCCGAGACGAGGTAACAGTTCTAAGAAAATATTTGCGCGACACGCAATATTTGTGTGTCGAAGAATTTCCGATAAACATCTCACAATGGGCAGAGCATTGCGTCCTGCACGGCCCATTTAATTTCCATTGCCCGCATAAAGTTGCACCGGAGCCGATACTTCCGATAGCCCGCATGAGCACCTAACAATAAGTGTAAACAACTCTTTCGGCCCGAGCCTCTCACAATGTTCTCATCACTCTTTTCATTCCTTCGTTTCGCTTCTCTGTCCGAAATGGTCATCCAGCAGTTTCTACAAGCAGATCTTGCTCCGGTAACGTAATCAGCTTCAAAATTTACCTAAAACGTTAGCAATCTAGCATAATCATTTTTTAAAGACAGATTAAAATTTATTCGTTGTCCCAAGAAGAATTTCTAGCCCGCTTCATACCTGCAAAAGTTACGTCTACCGATGTTACTCGATGGAACGTTGTGTTCCTCTTTGAGGAATTTCGCGGGGGATATATCTCGAGCTCGGTTATTGCGTCTGCACGCGATTATGGATGATCGAGCCACGTCGTGCGTGCCGCGCATACTCCTCCACTCCGAAGTGCTCCTTTCTGTGAAGCATGCGGCGTTATCTCGGCTTCCTTGTTGTCCCTTTGATGAAATAAAGCACTATCCGCGGCGAGATCTACCCCACGTTAGTAGTTGCGGTTCCTGGTCTTCCTCTCTCTCTCTCTCTTTCTCTCCCCGCCGCGTATGTAAGTACACATCGCATACTTTCTCCTTCTCTCTTCTTTTATTCTCGAGTTCTCTCGACAGTGCAGGACACAATGCGGCCCTTACATCTTCATCGAGTACGAGTCGTCGCTTGCGTGTAATGCGTTCACTCTACTACGCTTTCCATACCCGGCACGTATACGAGTCTCGGAGCATTTCCTACTCGACTCGAATTCGCTCGGACAACACTCGCGTGTCTCCTTTCCTCTCGGTGCCTTGCGTCTCAAAGACGAGCGTAAATTAATTTAAGCCTGGCCTTGTTATTTTTTATCTCAGAGTACTTGCTTGCGTTAATGCTCGTTCCTTTTTTTTCCTTTTTTCAAGCCACGACGAATGTGAGATTTATTTTACCGAACCGTTGTTGGTGTTACCTGCAAAAGTAACGAAAAGAAATCAGCGTGAAAAAGTAAATTTGAATATTTGCAGGGGGTCGTTCAAAATTCAATATCCCTCTCCTCTCTCTTTCTGCGATCCTCGAATTCGGTTCAACGATTCTCCAAAATGTATCGTTCCTTCCAAACCATTTTCCATACTCTTTCTCTCTCGCCCATTTTTTTTTCTCTTTTTCTTTTTCTCTTTTTTTTTTATGTAACACCGGAGAAGCACGATTTTTTTCACAAAATACCAAGCGTCGCTCTCTCCAGCAAAGCCGATGTAAAACGCGTTTACGCCGGCGGACGTAGATTCCAATGCACTCGTGCGATCTGTGTGGCTGAGGAAAAGAGAAAACATAAAAACAACGGCGGAAAAACAGAAGCGGGAAAAGAGACAGAAGGGAGAGAATCGGGCGAAAGGGAGGGAGAGAGAGAGAGAGAGGCGAAAACAGAGAAAGAAGAAACTTTGGTGCACGTAACTGGAGGCAGTCCGTTGGGTGGTTGAATCGTGGAGTGGAAGGCAGTGAGAGCCCTTGTACGCCCATGGAGAAGAAGGTCCAGGTGCGCCCTCACCTCACACGACTCTGCTCCACGGCACATCCGAGTTCTCTTCTCTCCCTTCGTGTATTCTCCTCCCTTCTTCGGCCCTTTTTCTTCTTCTTTTCTCTCTTTTCTTCTCCCCGTGCTTCGTCTTCTTCTCCCCGTTTCTTTCACGTTTCCTTCTCCCCCGAAGAGCCGGCGTGCTCTCTCACGCGCTTTCCCTTGCGCCATGGTGGTGTACACCACCACCACGCGTCGCTCTTGGGCAACGTAAAAACGCAGCAACCCGTGTTGTACTGCACATACGGGACATACATACGTTGACGCAGCGATGCCGGTGTGTATGTACGTGCGAACGCGCACGCGCGTTTGTGTATATTCGTACACGGGTGCAGGCACCTAAAGGTAAAGAATAGAGAGTGAAGTACCGGCGTGCAAAATGGATGGCGGATGTAAATGCCAAGTAGCCACTCTCTTTCCTTCTCTCGTTTCTCTTTCTCTCTCGTCTCGCCTGGTCTCCGCGTGATTTGCCTTACTCTGTCCTCTTCCTCATTCGTGCGTATCGCTCTCTTCGTTTCGCGCCAACTGTGCCGGCCTGTGTTTGATAAGCACGCATTGGCCGAGTCCGTCTATGGTCGCTCGTGTAGCACGAAGCCACGCGGAAAGATCAAGCAGCTGCTGGATAAATTTCTGTACACGCTCCGAAACTTACGTTCTACGAGAGAACGGAAGTCGACCCAATTCGAAGAAGGTTAAAGATCGTACACTTACGGGCCAAATTTTCCTCTTACGATGTCTCTGTACGTATTTCCGTGCACGCAAAGTGCCATCTCTGATTCGAAGCAGGAAATTAGGTAATCTACTTTCGGCGATCGCGTAGAAACGAGACCGTAAGCGAATAGCAAACGTGGATCTACAAATGACGTCAGTGATATAACGATCAATAATCCAGAGATGGCGTTCGATCGACAGTGCGATATTCATCGTTGATTAAGCGTTCGCTGATCGTGGGATCAGATTATCTCGTGGCGCTCTCGGTGACGAGACGTTCATCAGCGAAGTAACGCGATCATAGTTGGAAGAGACAGTGGGTGGTCGGTTTTCGTGATGGGTCGCGGGAAGGTGAGCCCTTTGCTTGATGTGCACCTCGTTACCACGTCGACGGAGACGGGCTCGGATACCGGGATGACGCAGCACCGGCTCCTGGTTACCTCTAGCCCATTGTTCTCCCCGCATTTCTTCTTCAGCTCGTGCTCAAGTGCTCGATCGCTACCCTCCCTCGAAGCCCGGATCCCTCGCCGTACTTTCGGCACGTTGTGTCTCCGCGTACGTCCTTCGTGTCTAAACGAGATAGTAATTTTACTTTTGCTGTACGTCAATAAAAAGACGGAGGTTGTTTCGACAGAGTTCTAGTACTGTCATTTCGAACCAGTCGATCGAAACCGACAAAAATAATCGCCACGTCTTGTTGATCAAGAAGCAACCTGCCGATATATGTACGTAAGACGTATATTTAGACGCCTCGAAGAAAAATACCCGACCGGAATATTTAATGATAATAGACGAGCATAGAAAAGGTTAGTTGCGTAGTTTCTTAATGATTATGTTAATTTAGTCAGACAGTGAGTCAATTGAAATCAGTATGTGTTGAAATTATTATGTATTAACCTAAAAATAATTTAATTGTATTAACCTAAAAATAATTTAATTAATATAAATACCTACATATATGTAGCCATCTTGATCTATAATTTGATCAATAAAATACAAATCTAATATAATTTAATTAATATTATAAATACCTAGCAATACGCTATACTGATCTAGGGATAATTTGAACAATAAAATATAAATCGATATAATCGTAAATACGTAAATGTAGCAGTCCGCCATCTTGATCTAGGAAAAATTTGGTCAATAAGATGCAAAGATCTAATGACTTGAAGAAAAAATTATATATTTTAGATTGCAAAAAAATGATGGTTACACATATTAGACATTTTTTTATACGAACATCCAACGATCGAGAAAACGGTCGAGCGTAGGATTGACGGTTTCGGTAGTGGAGTGAGCAATCGGATAGGAAAAAGAGAGGAAGGTGACGAGATGCGGCCCCCCGCGAGGTTTCCCGCGCGGGGCACCCGCCTGTCGATAATGTCCCGTACCAGTTACCGACAAGGGCTTCACCTGCATAGCGCTAGCAGATTCCGTGGTTGACCCCCCGTGCGAAACAGGCCCCCTGCTCGCGTCACGTCGATTCCTTGACTTCGGTTGTCCAGTCTCGCGGAAATAACGACACCAGTCTCGCTCGTATGGAAAAAAAGAGCGACGAATGCCACCGGTATATCGTCACCCTGTCGTGGGGTGACGCAGAACGCCGTGCAGAAGCTGGCATAGCTCGCCCCTGGTGGCCTCGCCGTGTGTGGGAACCTTCCGATCTCGCGATTTTCCTTCGCCGTTCGAACATAACCTCTTGAGAGTTCACCGAATAGCCGATAGGCATATGCCGTTCATGTCACGGCCACCGAAAGCGCGCGGTCTTAATTTTTACAAAAGCGTTGCCCGTGCACCCCGTGTACTACCTTCTGCTCGATAAACAATATACCATCGTGTACGCGCCAACGGGCCGACGAGTGGCCTCTCTCGGTACAATGCCATCTTATGACATTTTCGAGTCCGACCGTTGTTGTCGAGTGCTTAAGTGCTCGTTATACACGCCGCGTCAAGCTTTTGTACCGTAGCAACTGTTTTCTCGGGCGTCGGCCGACCATGTTCGGGGATCGAACTCCTGCGCCAGTCTCGTTCCTTGCCAGTGAGAATTGAGAATTAATAACGGACCGAATAGTTGTCCCGCCAAATTTGTTCGGCGCTGCGCCTTCTATCGAAGAAATGCACACGCGGTGCTGTCTCCACCGAGGCTGATGTTTGCACGATCAATAGTACAAACGGGCAAATGACAAGGCGCTGCTCCAATCAACGACGGTTGAAAAAAGGAGAAAGAAAAAGATCGTTTGACATAATTCCTAGGTTTCCGTACATTGATCAATTATTGATTTTTGATAACCTTTTTAATGGGTTCACGTTCAAGGCACTTTTCCAATCAAAGAAAAAAAAGAAAAAAAGGTCGACAAAATTTATAGGTATCAACAATTTTTAATAATCTTCCAATACGGTCACGTTGTTGAATAATCTCATTGGCGTGGACAACAAATGATCCAGAACGGCTGTAACGCGGATCGATCAGTGGTCACCTTTTCTGACGGGTAAGTTTAAAGGGTGAGAGAGAAAAGAGCGCGAAAAAGAAAGTCTCGGTCAGTAGGTAGAAAGCCCGGCTGTCACAAAGAAACATTTTCCATCGTCTTCGCGAGCGATTTACTTCTGGAGGTCAAACTCGCCCACGCAACTGGCGTCGCTCCAGGGGCGTATCTGCGGGGCGTGTTCACGGAGAGGTAGCTCCAACCAGAGGCGGAGCCGCGTTTCCCCACCGTTTCCAATGCGCGATTTTCGCTACCGGCCGGAAACGCACACGCGTACTCCGGCCTGTGTATACACGCAACTAAGTCGCTGATCTCTGGGCTCGTGTGGGTGACACCATGACGTCGCACGCTCGGACATAGGTCACAGACAGTAGGCTCCGTGCCGAGTTTTCTTCGGCCGATCGTCGACCAAACCGATTTCTTATATGCCGTGACATTGAACGCCGCGTGGCGTTGAGCCGAGAGCCCCGAACAAAACCGCGCTTCGACTTTCTCTCCATTTATTTTCCGTCTTCGTCTTTGATAGAGTGCACTTCATTATTTGTCGACGAGGTTCCATGGACGAAGAACAAATCCCGCGAGTGCATCGAGCATCGAACACTTTCCATTCGACTCTGTTGTTCGGTTTTTTTTCAACTCCCTTGCTTTACCACCTAAATAGACGTACCTGTAATATATCCCAGTGAGTCTTACTTGCGTGCTATGAGACTGGAATATTATGAAGATCGCGTCCTTTTTTCTCTCTCTCTCTCTCTTTCTGCGCGTATTTGATATTTTTGCAATTGGTAGTTAGTTCCTTGATATTCACGATAATGAGAGTAGATAGAGGTGTACCAACGCCTTGAAACGTGTCGTATTTCGATCAAGTTTTTGAACAAGCAGTAAGTACGAGTATGAATAAACACGTGATCTGACTCTCTTATTGGAAAAGCATTTGATAAATAATGAATGAATCTTTGCCAAAATATAAAATACGAAAGAAACTACAGAAACGTTTGGAAACTCTGTTTAAAATAATTTCTATGGCTATGTCGACAGGGAGATTTGTTCCTTACGATGTGGGATGATTTTGAGTTTCACCGATCCTTTTGTTCGAAAATTGAGATTTAATAACGCATCGAGAGAAAATATGTTTCAGGTGGCGCAATCGGCTGCACTTGTGTGTATATATATATTTATATATATCTTACATACGGTGAACGAGGGAATATCGCAAATTCCCTGACGGCATGGATGGCAAAGGCATTCTGGCATAGCAATTACCTGCAGGGCGAGGGAGTCAAGTAGCAATATCTGGACCCGTTATCCAGTTCGGTTATCCCGACTGGAATGCTTTGTGTCGCCGGCAATCTGCATTTCTACCTGTTTGAATGGAAGTCTATGAGATCCGCGGCATGATTTCAAATGAAATCGACTCTTTGTCCCCCGGCCGGAAATTTCCAATTCAATAACGCGCCCAGGGAAACGCCGCGGCAACGACTGATTGACTTATACCCGGAATTGGATGGAAAACGCGAAAAGGTGGAAACGAATTTTTTTTTCAAGACTCTACGACCTTCAGTTTCAAGTCGATTTCAATATCAAATTTTAATATTGAAAGTTAACGTTCAACTTTGTACAGGTGCACGTTGTACACGGAGCCTTCGGAATTTGTAATTGTTATCGGCAATTCTGCCGGATAGAATATCTGAACCTTCAAGCTCTCGCGCTGGCAACTGGTTCGCGGACCATAACGAGTGACCGAACCGTAATACAATGCGTAATTCGTCGCTTTCTTCTTCCACTGAACTCGTCGGCATGATGTCACTGGCTAGAAATTATTAAGAAGTAACAAACTTATGTAAATATATTACAAATATACTTAAAACTGAGGAAATGTTGCAATTTGGGACAGAAAATTGCGTCGACGTGCGTGGCACGTCGTTCCAGCGCAAGAGGTTGAGCGAATGAATGAATGTGTCGCAAATGTTTCAGCAAACCAGTGTATTGGCACTTGACCTCTGGAAATTTTGTTTCATTGGAATCAATGAATGTGACACGAGTGTCAGGAATCTGCTTGGCAACCCTTTGCAATGCATTAGACTCTCGCAGCTCTATCAAGGGAGGAAGACGACATTAGCATCGAGGCTAAGGACCACCCTTGCCTCGCGTTCGCGTCTTAGATCGAAACAGCCCCATGTTTTCGCCGGCTTGGTATTCATGAACGGGGTTCCAACGTGGGACATTCGAGTTCCTCTCTTCTTCCTTCATGAATTTACAATCGGAGCGAAGAAATCGCGTAGACGAGGCTCGCACGTGCCACGCTTCCGCGAGAAACTGCGCGGAACATTGGAAATTTAAATTCCACGAGTTGGTTCCACGATTTGTAACGAAAATTATTTCGTTCTAAAACATCATAAAAATATATTCTATATTCGGAATATTTGTTTTAGATGAGTCTACATTTCCTTCTGAAAACGATCATCCTGTAGTACGCAAAGTGAATACTCCTATCGATTTCCTACGTCCCACAATGGTCGTCAGAAATGAGCAAAAACCCGTCGTGCTCGGTAATCGTATCGAGCAACGAATCCGTGATCCAGCTAATAAGAGCGACAGCGTCGAAGGAAGGGGGAAAGAGAGAAATAATAACATGAAAGATAGAGGCTGGAGGTTTAGCCGGACGAGGGTGAATGGGGTGAGGGAAAGCGGATGGAGCCACGTGCTGCTGTCACTGGCACAGATTATATTATATAGGAATGGCAGCGAATAGGTGTAGGTATAAGCGTCGAGCGGCAGTTAATAAATATGATAATGGCGGGCATAGTGAGAGAAAGAGAGGGGTGTGTGGGGTGCGATATGGGATACCAGTGTATAAGAGTGACCACCAGAAGCAGAGGCCTGTCATCGTCAGGACCTCTCGTATGTCATGACGCGGTGTACGCACACATACACACACACATATATAAAGTGGCGACACGCGCGCGATGACAGCATCGAGCGCGGAACGTGTACTACTACCTTCTTCTTCCATTTTTCCATTCTTCGTTATGATGTAATTGTTAACGCGAATTTGGAACCGCGTACAATCCTGAACAGGTTACTCGAATACACCTACTTACTTGATTCCTACGACAAATTACAATACAAATAAAAGAACAACTCTCTCCTTTAGAGTGTTAACTCGTCTTCTCTTTTTTAGGAATTGGTTTCTGTAACACACGAGCCAAGTGACATACCTGTTTGCAGAGCTACAAGTTATAGTAAGTGTTAGAATTATTATACATTCTAAACAATCGTGCCAATGAGAACATTCAACGCTATTATTATGCAATTAACGTGATATATATACTCTCCTTCGCTTTAGATCTTGCAGAAGGGTAACCACACAGATCCAGGGAAGAAAAAGACGTTGAAGTGGTAATCGTCGTCAGTTGGCGACGGTAATTCGCCGATTTAATAATTTCATAATATAAGGCGACGTGCCTTTTGGCCGCAGGGAAGAAAAAGAGAGGAACGAAGAGTATGGCCGGTTCCCCCCTCGGGGCTTTCATTAATCTCACTTCCGCCACGGAAGTCGAAAACAGTTTTCTGCTGGGCAACCTTTCCCTTTTGACCCGGTAAATTGCGCGCGCGTGCGGGCGTACGTACTACTTGCGCCCGTCGTGTACCTGTATCCCGCTCTTCCAGGAGCAATTAGTCACGGTGCTCTTGATAAATCGCCGGAATCCTCTACCCTACGGTGGGGTTAAGTCCCGGCTGGCGGCAGACCCTCGGCAAATATCCAATAACAGCCCGGCCCGGCGCTCCTGCCGGTGGCTTCTCTTCACCACCTGTGTCCCGGGCATTAACCTTCACCTATCGAGAAGATCGGCTTACCTTAATAATCGTAGAGCTACACCGTCGCATTTTCTAAGGGGGTTACGACGTTACCGGGCCAGGAACACGCGACGCTGGCTCGCGAGAGGGTGTTTCCATGGCACTAGTCGCAAGGCTAGTTCGTTCCGCACCATGAGAGAGAAACCGGCAAGGATGAGAAAAAAAAATCGTCGGAGATGTAATGAAACATTCTCAGCCCTCTTCCCCTCCGTTGGACAGGAGGCGTGCAGAATCATTCGTTGGATTTGATTGGGATGTCGAGTTCTTTACCTATATAAGGGAGGGTAATCAATCGACCTTTTTGAGAAATATGCTCCATGATTCCTGACGAATGTTACAGTTGGTTATCTTAGGGATGAGTCGGATTAATAATTAATAAAGTACATGGATACTTCTCTCTCTCTCTCTTTCTGTATGAAGTATCTTTAGAAAATCTGGCATTTATGCATACATCTGGGCCTTCTTGCTTAATCAGTGAATGTGTGTTAAAAAAAAAAAAAAACAGAGTTTCATAGTAGAATTATAGATATTTTGGACTCGTTGTTAATCCATGCAGGTGTATTTGAACCTCTCGCGAAGGTCAACAGGAAGAAAGAGGAGAGACGAGATTAGGATAGGATAGGATTGAGACGCGTACTCGACTCGGCAGGTATTCTACACAGCAAGCCTCGTCCCTTTGAATAAGTATCGTTTTATTAATATCTCTGTCATTATTTACAAAACTTTGTAATAATCTCTAAATTTTTCTTCACCATCACACGCTACTCGCTATTCGTCAATCGTTATACTTTTACGCTTTTTTTTTTTTCTTTTTTTTTCTTTTTGTTTTTTTTTCGCTGTACCTGTGTGTACGTGTGTGATTAATGTGTACATGTATCATCCGTCTGTGTACAGAGTTTCGTGTGTGTGTGCGCGTGTGTGTGTGTGTGTGTTATATTAATGTCAATAATGCTCGACTTTGCTAATTGTTTTACAGTAGAACACGAACGCCCCGCTTTGCGGTGCGTCGACGGCGAAATTCACCCACTTTTTCAACATCGGGCTCGACATTTTTTTTACCATTTCACTCTTTCATAATTCTTTCTCCCGCCGCTACCTTTGTCGCGTATGCGTCTAAATATCAGCATACCAGAAATTATATTTACACCATCTGTGACCTCGTTATCACAGCGCGCACATCACATCACCTCACTCTCTCTCTCTCTCTCTCTCTCTCATTCTCACTCTCACTCTCACTCTTTCGCTCTCACTTTTCTTTTCACATCCGGCAGGTTTTGTTTTCGTCTTCGTCCTCGTAGTCGTCGTCGTCGTCGTCGTCGTCGTTGTCGTTGTTGTCGTTGTTGACCGTGGAAAATCGATTCCTCTCCTCCTCCTCCTCCTACTACGTGTCGAACGACACCACGCCACAATTCTCGCGACGGATGCGACAAATACACATCTCGTGTAATATACATCTCTAACTATGTACACGCGTGTCCCCCGCCTGGAACACGCCTCGCGACACGATTTCACCGTTTCCATGCGAAGAGGAAAAGAAAGGAGAGACGGTTGGATCCGAGTCGTTTCAATTGAACAAAACCCCACGCGCCACCACCAACCTAACCGCGGGTCGATTAATCCGTTTCGACCACTCGCGATTCTCACGTACGTAACTCATGCTCGTGCACGCTTTTTCAGCTCCCCCTCCCCCCCCCTCCCCTTTTCTCAGAAGGGTTTCGCGCGAAAACTGAAAGAACACGTGCCACTTCCTTTCGACGCGAATACTCGCGGACGTACCGTACGTATCTCGGCGACTCTGGCGGCCGATTTTTCGCCGAGGAACAGTTTTCACTGTTCCATTGAACCAGTTGCTCGTAGAGAAATCGTGGTATGGTTTGCAGTTCGCGGTTCGGTGTGTTTTGTCGAGAGAGAACGAGCGAAATTCAAACGACCGAATGTTCTTCGCCCCTCGCCCCCGTTTCCTCGGTATTGCAATCGTATTCTGTACATTAGGGTGGTATCACAAGGTAAGGTGTTCAAGGATAAGTCGGGCCTCTGGAATGGCGGCGAACCTAGATGCAAAAGAGTTTAGAAAAATTTTTCTCGAGAATAACTGTGGATTGATTATCACGGGTGCTGAATTTATACGAATGGAAATTGTTAATCTTTTTGCGGTAATTTTTAATCTCTGTAATCGAGAATTATTTTACTCGAGTAATCAGAGATTACGCGACTTTAATTTTAATGTTGAGGTAATTTGATTAAAGTATTGGGGGAGAAAAAAAAAAAAGATTCTCGTCGAAGTGTCGAGAAATTCGTGTAAAAATTTTGCGCTTCCCCGTTTTGTTGTTTTCAAGTTTGTCTGATTTTTATTGACGCACGTTCTGAGTTATTTTTCTTTCTCTCTTTTCTGCTTTTAGGTTTCCAGAATTCCAACGCATTCTCAGCAATGCCTCAGCTCCTCCCCGAGGATCGCGATCCAAAGACGATTCACTCGATTTCGAGCTCGTTTCGATTCATCGGCTTCCTCTTCATATTACAATTTGACAAATTAGGATTACAAGAATTCCGAGAAATTTTCACTGTGCAACAAGAGTTTACAGAAAAAAGAAAAAAAAAAAAAAGAAAAAGAATGAATTGAATTAATCTGGACAGATTAATTCTTTGATCTATCGGAGCGGAACAACTGGAAATAATTGGAAATTTCGAAGTTAGTTTTCGCTGAACCGGTGTTGTTCCCTGTCCCAATGGAAACTCGAGCCCCTCCTCGAGGATATGTGTTGCTGCAACGCAACAATGTCGCGAAAGTGCGTCTCCGGTGACACACGCGGTGGACAGAACCGGTGTACGGTTTCTCGCAATTGGAATCGACGTGTTTTCGAGTACGCCCCGCACACCTGCAATCCTTTCCCGACGCGTTGCCTCTTTTGATTGCGAAGTGAAGCCAAATTTACCCGTGTTTAAAGTCAATTACGCTCGTTAACGCGCGTAATCCGGGAGCCCACACGGTGTTTCTCGGCGCATAATTTCGCGAACAATTCCTGTTTCGAAGCCACGTCACGTTCGCCTCCGTGCAATTTCAAACAATTACAATTCGTGCGTATCGCAAAATAAAAAGTTTTCCCTGTCGATTCAGCTTTCGTTCCTTCAAGGATGAAGCTGTTCAACGTTACGTTTGTGACAAATCAAGATTTACCCTAACCAAGAGGATTGAGATAGATTTCACAGATAAATTAAACATTAGAAATTGCTCGAACCTCGTTTCTATTCACTGACACGTGTCGAATCTGTCTTGCCAAGGTGGAATCAGATTGAATATTCAATGATTGGAAGGACCTTCCACGCTCTCCGGCAAGACAACAGAACAGAAGTCGAGCATTACATTTCTAAAATAACAAAAGCGTCGAAATAAACGACAAAACCGATGTAAGTACGTTGCGTCTTACGTTTGAGGCTTACTCGATATATTTATCATCCCAATTTCTTTCAGATCCGTCAAGATCCATCGACTCGGGGGAGGGGAAGATTCAAGACAACTGCCGTTGATCCAAATGTTTCAACCGACACTCGAGCGATTCGCACAGAGGATCCTTCACGGTATAATACTTCACTGACTGATCACTGACTCCTAGCAACCGCCCTGCGGCTCGCGCAGAAAATCATCAGCGTGCACAGTTTGTCAATGTATCTATTGGAACAAGTCGATTTCGTTGAAACGTTATTTCGATGACGACAACAACCGTCACCGAGAGTGTCTCTCTTTTATCCAGTGTCTGCGGGTGAGCATTCTCGTCACCAGGGAAGGACAGTGTCCTCTAGATCAGTCTCGTCGTTCAATTCCAATGAGCAGCCAGTCGAGGCGAGCTGTTCTAGAAACGACTCACAGAGGTCGGAGCGCGCGACGCAGCAGGACTGTCTCTAGGGGCTGTCTTCCATGGGGTACCAGGCAGCTGGACCTGCGACGGAGGGGTTGGCCCCCGCCGCGGATGGCATGTACTACCAGGCCCGGCCTTGGAACGGCAGGTACGCGCCGCATTGTGGCTGCTGCTGCTGCTGCATGCTCTGCTGGGCACCGGTCCTCGAGTACGAGCAATGCTGGAGACTCTGGCTGGACGTTATCACGTGGTTCACACCGACCACCGAGTGATGAGGCACCGAGGAGGCCGCGTGATGAGAGCCGTGAGGACTCGACGCCGCGGTCATGTGAGGCGCTGGACTTGCCAAGGCCGCGCTTGGTCCGCCGCGGCTACCCTCGTTCCCGCCTCCGCCGCCGCTTCCGCATGGCTTGCCGTCTTTCACCAGCACCGGCACAGCCACCCGTCGCGGCGAACTAGCGCTCTGCAACACAAAAATTGGATTACTCTTTCGATTACACCTAACCCAAGTAGATGGTTTTTCCATGGATTTGATCAGAGAAATGGTGGGCGAGGTAGGTACGTTTCAGCAGAATTTAAACTACAACGACACCATTCACTCGGTAGAATCGCTTGATCATCATTTCCAGAAAACTCGTGTCTCATCTCTGCCCATTAAGAAATGGGGAGCAAGATCCTAGAAGCGTTGCCTGTAATTTCTCTGACATCCGTCACACTGGTCCGAGAAAGAAACGACAGCCTAGTCTACCTGATCCGCCGGTGTGTAAACTCAGTCCACATGTAGGTGCACAGACTGTGTACGACGAACGTAGCGTACAGAAGACGTGGGACGACGTCGTGGCTCGGCTTCTGTGTTCCAAGCAAACACGTGGGCTCGGTAGGCACAGCAGGTACTTAACCCGCGCGATACCTCATGATCAGCATTCGAGCATACTCGTACTCTAGCAGCCGGAGACTCTCTCTCTCTCTCTCTCTCTTTCTCTCTTATTACGAATAAACAGTACCAGCTACCGTGGACCACAGGGTTCCAGCCGAGGCACTGTCGAGCCACGTCAACATCGAGAACTGCTGTCTCCCTCGTCTCCCCGCGTTTCTGTCCGAGGGGGATTCAATACGACGAGCGAGACCCCACGGCATGCCAAACAGAAGCCGAAGCAAGCCGGCCGAGTACCTGCCGGGACGACCACTCAGCTGTATCAACATTCGGTACACGACATTCCTCTTCGATCTCCGCGCCAGCGACGCTTTAATAATATGATCGCGACCGCTCAGAAATAACGCCTATTTCGGCTGACAGGCTCACGCCGCGCCTCTCCGCTCGGCCGTTCTTTGGAAATTGGAACTGAACGGAGAGGCGAGAGCATACTTTTTTCCCTCGATTTTTACAAAATCTGGCGACTTCAGCTGCGAGGATTGACATTCTCAGCAGGCGACAAAAAGAGCGGACAAATAAGGACAATGTAAAAGCTGTAAATATATCACAAATATACCATCGTATCGTAGGAGGTATAGCTGAAGATAACTGTTCAACTGTTTTCAGGGATTTCGCCACGAGAATGAAAGTTAGAATCACCGTGCACGTGAACGGAGAGGCGAGAGCCGTTTTTCGTTTTTTTCCTCGATTTTTATAAAAAATCTCGCGACTTCAGCTGCGAGGATTGACATTCTCAGCAGGCGACAAAAAGAGCGGACAAATAAGGACAATGTAAAAGCTGTAAATATATCACAAATATATCATCGTATCGTAGGAGGTACAGCTGAAGATAACTATTCAACTGTTTTCAGAGATTTCGCCACGAGAATGGAAATTAGAATCACCGTGCACGTGAACGGAGAGGCGAGAGCCGTTTTTCGTTTCTTTCCTCGTTTTTTACAAAAAATTTCGCGACTTCAGCTGTGACGATTGACATTCTCAGCAGGCGACAAAAAGAGCGGACAAATAAGGACAATGTAAAAGCTGTAAATATATCACAAATATACCATCGTATCGTAGGAGGTATAGCTGAAGATAACTGTTCAACTGTTTTCAGGGATTTCGCCACGAGAATGAAAGTTAGAATCACCGTACACGTGAACGGAGAGGCGAGAGCCGTTTTTCGTTTTTTTCCTCGATTTTTATAAAAAATCTCGCGACTTCAGCTGCGAGGATTGACATTCTCAGCAGGCGACAAAAAGAGCGGACAAATAAGGACAATGTAAAAGCTGTAAATATATCACAAATATATCATCGTATCGTAGGAGGTACAGCTGAAGATAACTGTTCAACTGTTTTCAGGGATTTCGCCACGAGAATGGAAATTAGAATCACCGTGGACGTGAACGGAGAGGCGAGAGCCGTTTTTCGTTTCTTTCCTCGATTTTTACAAAAAATCTCGCGACTTCAGCTGCGAGGATTGACATTCTCAGCAGGCGACAAAAAGAGCGGACAAATAAGGACAATGTAAAAGCTGTAAATATATCACAAATATACCATCGTATCGTAGGAGGTATAGCTGAAGGTAACTGTTCAACTGTTTTCAGGGATTTCGCCACGAGAATGAAAGTTAGAATCACCGTACATGTGAACGGAGAGGCGAGAGCCGTTTTTCGTTTTTTTCCTCGATTTTTATAAAAAATCTCGCGACTTCAGCTGCGAGGATTGACATTCTCAGCAGGCGACAAAAAGAGCGAACAAATAAGGACAATGTAAAAGCTGTAAATATATCACAAATATATCCTCGTATCGTAGGAGGTACAGCTGAAGATAACTATTCAAGTGTTTTCAGGGATTTCGCCACGAGAATGGAAATTAGAATCACCGTGGATGTCGGCGGATCGACTGATGCATACTACCGGGGGAGTACACGGGAAAGGAAAAATCAACGGAGTACGTAACAACAATTCGATTCGAGTGGCCAACACACGAACTTACGTGGCACGTTGGCGCTGGCCGCGAGGCATAAGTGCAGGCATGCCGTGCACTTCACGCTGACAAAGTGACGATTACGCTAAACGCATGACGGTCGGCGCGCGCGTCACGCGTCACGCCACTTTAGCCACTTCAACACGCGTTAAGCGATTTCCGGCGAAAATGGCCGTGCTTAGGAACGGAGTAGTACGTGTTTATGAGCGGCGACCACTGCCGCCGTGCATAATGAGCCTCAATGTTGCGGTGATCGCCACTGGCCGCGATTGGATTCTCGGGAAACGTATTACGCGTCGATTTTCCTCTCTCTCTCTCTTCGTGGACCACTGTCCCCCTAATGGTACGTAGGTGCATATACATGTATTTCTTCCGCGGGAGCGATCGTTGTCACCGGTTGCTTTTTGGGTTAAGGACTCGACCGAGATTCTATTTTTTTTTCCCCCCATTTGTAGGTACTACCGGAGGAGGTGTTGCAGGTTCAATTCCCTGCAAATTCTGTTGATCAGAATTTGAAAATAGGAATAAGATTCGGAGAAGTATGAGAGGAAAGACACAGCTGAAGGCGAAACTCCTCACTTTGATACATGTATGAGGAACGAAGGAAGGGACATTTGCGAGATAAAGTTGCACTTGAGAAACATCCATGCGATCCATGCACCTACTCATAGTCGTATCGAATATACAAATGCGACGTGCCAGTGACTTCCACGCGAATGCATCTCCCGTGGAAAAACACTCGTCATCGTTGGAACTGATATAATTAACTAAAAGCTGGGCTCTACCCAGTGCCACGGCTTTTCCCCTCCTTCGCTCCTCTTTCTCTCACCACTACCACCACCACCACCACCATTAAGCAGTCCAGCCCGACGGTCGTCTACGTTTCGTTTCTTTACAGAAGCCTCGGCCGAACAAAGAACCACGTGAAGAGATATTAAAAGATTTCTGCCGGGACCTCTCGTTTCCGCAACGAATGGAATTCAATGGGTTCCGTAAACGAGAGAGTGGTTTTTAAATCTAATAACCGATGTTTTACCACAAGTGTAATTACATTAGGCGGTCTCTCGATATCCGCCAAACAGCTTTCGCGCTCTCTTCCTTCCGGAAAAAAAGAGAAAAAAAAGAGAGAAAAGGGAAGGGAAAAACCGGGCCACCTATTTTTTTCTCAAGACGCTTAAAGGATGAATCTTTTGTCTCGGAGACAATATTGAGAATTAACGACGAGCGATAGTCTGTCATCGAGTTTGATCAAATTTTTAACGTCAACTTCTCAGGTAAGTGAAAACTCCAACTCGAGTAACATCATCATATCTGCGATTTGTACTGAAAAGAAGAAAAATAATTGCAACGAGCGAATCAATTTTTCTTTCCCTCCACAGTTATCTGAACAGAGTTGAAATCCATCCAGAGCTACGTTATAAATTTTGTACCTAGGAGAAGAAACAACTGATGCGAAGCAATTCTAAAGTTATCCAAGGAGACGCTGAATTCTCAGAAAATGTCCTCGCTTCCACGCTCCGAGTGGAAGAAGAACGTCGTAGGCGTTTAGCGTGATCTCAATCGCGACACGAAGTTACAGCCGGTGAGTCGGAAGATCGGCGGCTCGTGTCTCGGGAGAAGGATTAATCGATATCAATAGTAGTAGTATTGGTAACCCCGATTCGCGTCCAGGTGTTGTGCATGACTGTACTCACGGCAAGATGGCGACCGGTCCTCGAGAGAGCACCCGTTTCCGCGCTCCCCTGCAGGATACCTCTCTACACCCCTCTCTTGTCATTCTCTCTTTTTCTTTCTCCTTCTCGCCCGCTCTCGCCCGGCCTCGTCTTTTTCTTTCTCTTTCCTTTCCTCCTGTTCGCTCGCTCGCGCTGCCACTTGAAATTTTTTTACCGCCGCGAGGGGAGGAAATGGAATAAAACGAAAGAAAAGAGGGGGAGGGGGGAGAAAAAGAGGGAAAGGGGAAAAAAAAATCGGAGCTCTGCCTGCCAACTCGTCGACGACGTCAACGACGACGTTTGCTGCTGCCTACCTTGTGTCACGTGTTATTTTAAACCTCGTAAATGATCAACATTTGTTGAAAGATACTTGCAAGTTTCAAACTTCCTTTGCAGCTTGGAACGAATCTCGTCGATGACTTTCCGAAGGAGATGCTCTCGTGTTTGGAAAAACGACACGTAAGAAGAAGATACAGTACCTGCTTACGTGACCAGTTACTTTGTAAGAAATCCTCCGTGAGTACCTCTGATTCTCTATTGAATCCGACAGTAAGTAAGCCGCACGGTAGTTACTTAACTGTATATTTATCTGTTTTTAAGGGTGACTGCAACAATAAATTGCAACAAGAAACGAGAACAAACGCACGGTCACTTTGTGAAATGAAGTGGCGGCGACCGAGCTTTGGAAGAAAGCGGAAAATCTAGTTTCCCCGCTACTGAGATCTATCTTAGAAACTACGCATCCTCATTGTGTAGACTAACAATGCTACCATACTCGACGTATAGTATAGGTGTACGTTTGTTTACCTACTATTTCGCGTCACGGCGTGCAGATCGAGATGATAGAACGCCAAAAATGCCTTGCATAGAACAGGGAAGAACGCCATTGAATTGACATTAAGATACTGTAGCGTACAGCAGAAAAAGAAACAGGCGAGTTGCTCCACGCTCTACGGAAGAAGAAAAGGAAGCGTAAAAGAGAGACAGGGATCGGGAGGAGAGATGAATGGAAACGAATCTACGGGGACCACGAAAAACTAACGAGTAAATTATGGGGCGGCTGCTCGCCCTGGCGTGGACGAATCGAGGGGAAGAACGGTTTACAGATCGGACCGCCGGATAACTTTCAGCACCATTAATGTTCTATGGATGTTTACAAGCTGCCGCTTGGCGACGGCTACGCTGACGACTGTGTCGACCCAATTTAGGGACAAGATCAATCGCGATCTAAATAACCAACTACTCGTTACATGCTCGAACGGTGTCATTGAAATTGAATCACTCAACACGACTGTGTGTGGCAGACGTTTTTTCCACGGGGCATCGGTATCACGTCTTACGTAAATAAATAAATGAATGAATGAATGACGCAACGAATGAATCTCTCGCGTTAGAAGAGCGAGAATCAATTTAAAAGCGAGGCTGATACACATTCATTTCACGGACGATGAAATTTTTAACTGATTTCAATGTGGATCAAGTGTTCCGGCCGGTTAAAAAACTAGATATCGATCGGAACACAGGAGAATGATTTTGATCCGCCGTCAGCCGCAAAAGTGGTTTTATACGAGAATCGGACGACCGTTGTTGTGCCCGTTGCCCATCGAAATTCGATGAAACGGGCGGGGGAGGAGAGAGAGAGGGTCGATGCCGGCCGAAAAACGCGCTATGAAAATCCGCTTACGAAACGCCATTCCGCGGCGTTTCGTGGAGTGTCGTCGCTCACGCTCGGCTGTACGAGTGTGCGTGTCCTTTACAAAAAAATATTTCCAGTCACAGGCAGAAATACGGCGTCACGTTGCAGAAATAAGAGGGAGAAGAAAACGATAACGAAGTACACACACGCAGGCACACATCTAGTTGGGATGGAAATGATTTGAAAACATTTCCAAGAAACGCGTTTCGCTGGCCGTGCAAGAAATTCATTTCGAGGCGTGCAGGAAACTGACGGCGAGCAAATAATCGTTGGCATGTTGACACGAAAATGATTTTCAGTGTCGGTGGGACGTACACGGCGCGTTCGATTCTCCCCGGTTAACTCGAATCGAACGATTTGCCGCTAATGCACACGCCAGGGCATCCGTGATCCCGCATACACATACCCTACTCTAATGTATTCACCGGGACCGAGTCTCTCTCTCTCTCTCTCTCTCTCTCTCTCTGTGTATCAGCACGATCGGCCGCTGTCTTCTGACGTCTCTTTTGAATGTTATTCCAGAGAACGAGAGGGAAAAGAGGGAGCCCGGGTGCCACGCTGGAGGAGCGATTCGTATTCGTCAGTGCGTGCGACGAGATCGAGACAGGGCACGTTTCTCTCGAGCTTGCAATTACTACCTATATCTCGGGGAATCTGGCGCGTCATTATTAAAACCGATAAAAAAAGGAGAGGGAAGGGAGAGAGAAAGGAGGAGAGCAGAGAAGGAGGAAAAGGGCTTGTTTGATGGGTTCCTATTGACGCGAAATAATGTTGTAGGATATTGCACGCTTTCAAAAGCCCTGCCTCTTCTTTGTATTTATAATGTAACAGTAGGTGAAATTTGAAATTACGATTTTCTTTTTTTTAATTGTTTCCACGTATAAGTAACAGTAGCTGCAACGTGAACGTACAGACATTTTGCAATTATTTTATTTTATTCCAGACTTGGAGCATTTCAATTTATCAGTGCTGCATCGTGGTCAATGAATCGTGATCCCGGCGAGATTCAAACCTGAATTCTGTCGCTCGTTAGAGGATGAAAAACATAGGGGGAAAAAAGATAGCGTAACAAGATGTATCTGCGTGGAAAAAAAGGACGGAAGGAAAGAAACAAAAAAAAAAAAAAAAAAATAAAAGAAAAAATAAAAGGTAAAAAGAAAATAAAAATCATACTGTAATAGCCAGTCGTGGAAACATCGTGGTAATTACGTGTTTAACACAGACGATTTTACGTTTCAGGGAGGTCGGTATCCCGGCAAAAATTTCGGCTGGAATAACGAAATGAATGCAGAATCGCTACGAGTCGGTCGAGTGGCCCACTCGAAACGAAATACGATGTGGATGCGAGGATCCCGTGCCCGGGCGTCCGTGCCGGAATATTTTTCATTTAAAAGCATTTCATTTCGAAATGCTCGATATTTTGTTGTGTGTGTCTCGCCGTTTTGAAATCCCTCGGAAAATCCGATCTATCGAGGACGCGTATTATTATCACACGACAGACGGTCGAGCGACAGAGTTTTAATTTAATCCTTCGCTTTCTCTCTCTCTCTCTCTCTCTTTCTCTCTCTCTGTCTTTCGCCTCTTTTTATTCCGTCCTCTTCGACGTGTATTTTTCTTCAAATGTAACAAATTTCTCGCAATGGCAATTTAAATTAATATTTCTGTTTTCCTTTGCAATAGTTACCTGATTCTGAGCGTTCTGTTCGGCCATCGCCTTCTCCTTTGCCTGTCTCTTGCACTTGTATCGGTGATTTTGAAACCATATTTTCACCTGCAACGTGAGAAAGAAGTTATTTTTATCGTCGTAAAAATTTAGAACTTGAAAAGAAAGAGGAAAGAGAAGAATAGAAGTTACAAAGACGAAGCCTGTGCGCCAATGATTACGTTTCTCGACGTTTCTCGACGTTTCTCGGGGAATGAGATTTGAAATTTTAAAACTTCGAGACGAGGACACACGCTGCCAAATGCCTCGAGCCGAACGCTTTCCTTTTTCCTTTCTTTCCTCGAAAATCCGTGGCACATTTCTGATGCGCGACGCTGTCGTTGGGTAGGTAACTTAAATATTTTCACAAGGGAGGGTGAACGCAAGCCTTTTGTTGCGTGTGTACGTTTTAAGTAATCTGAAACGATTCGTGGCTCTCTCAAATCCGCTACTCCACCTATAGATACCTATTATACAAGTTTGTTATTCTTTTCACAGAAATTTCACGCCTCTTTCGCCTCTCTAAACATTTGAAAGAACGTCGATTTCTTTTTTATCACAATAATCGTCTCGTTTCACTTACTTTTAGTTGGTAAAACAGGTACCGTGAAAGGTAAAAAAAAAAAAAAAGAACGAAATAGTTACACTTGATGTAACGATTGGAAGATAAACTCTTTAAAAGAATTTTAATCACCTTAATTCCAACAACGAAACGTCAGAATTTCCTTCGAAAAACGGAAGTTCCGTCAGTCCACAGATTTCTGCTGCGCATGACGATATCAAAAGGAAAACCCCGCCGCGCGCGGGGGGGTTTTTATGAAGTTCCGGCCGAGGAGCAATCGTGTTCCCGTTCAAGATCGCTTTTACGGCAATTGAACGCGATTAGGGAAACCGGCCGTGCGCGGACGGGAACGAAATCGACATCTGCTTATGACAGCGGCGCGTTATAATCCGTATTGTACATTATGCCGCGTTTACAGGGGCGCGTCCCGATCATCGGTGGCATTGTCGTCGCACCACGAAAACAATACTCCCCATTTCTGTCGGCCGATTTAATCCTTAACGCGAGCTTACCAGGATAACGCGGTTCGCATTAAGCTGCTCGCCGTGCTTAGGACACTGTGCAAGTACCTGAGTATTATGTATGTATACATCTACTGCTCTGCAATCGCATAAAAATACCCAAATACGTTTGGTTAATTGAGTAACTGTTTTACCTGTTACCGAAAATTATCGTCGCCGATTTTTGTAGGTTAGGTTTGAATTAGGAGAAAGAGTAGTGCCACCAGGCTAATATTTCAGATTACGCTAGTGGAAAATTGCGAGACATTTTGCAAAATTTCTGAGTAAATTATTTAAATTTGTATAAAATTATTATAAATTTAAATTTAAATTATAATTATTACAATACAAAGGTTTTCATTACATTGTAAATAAATCAATTGACACTTCCAGAAATTAAATGAACGTTTCAGCAAGTTCTTATTTTAAACAAAAATAATGCAATTTCACTTGGACAAAATTATGGCAAAAGATACTGGCATTAGTCTGTTGCAGAGAATCGAGTTGCATTTGCTTCCGTTGGCTTACAAATTCCTTGATAAAGCGAATTTGTTGACTTACGTTTGAAAATTAATAAAACAAAGAGCATGGCGTGCGACGAATCGTCAAGTGAGGAAGAAAAAATTGAAAGCTTCTAGTTGAAAGCAGCAAGATGCAAATATAAAACGAATTTTAGTCAATGAATGTAAAGAAGTCGGTGTATCGTTAAAAAAATTTTTAGTGAGTCTGAGTATCAACGAACTATTAGATCAATAAGTATTGTTAAAGATTATCAAAGATTAGTTCAACGCATTTTAAACCAACTTCGCTTCTTCTTAGGGGCACAAGTTCTGCAATATACGTATACTCGGTTGATTCAAAGGAGGCAAGGAAACAGCAGATTGAACAATTTAAAAGGAGGAAAAAAAGAAAAAAAAGAGGGGGACGAAGGAAGAAATTAGGGGCATGTGTGAAAGGTACGCCTAAGTCTGATTTTTATCGCAGGAATCAAAGGCGAGTCCGACCTATATGTTGCCCTGTCTGTAACCTCCTACTCGAGTGGCTGTAACCCGCTGCAATCCCCCTCTCTTCCCCCCCCCCCGTCCTGTGTAGTCCCCCGTGTAACCCCCATTGTCAGAGTTATGCGCGGCGTAGAATGCAACGAAAGCACTTTAAGGGGGGCCCCCGTGCAGTAAACCGTGTCTCGAGAGCCTGCCACCGTCTGTCTAATTCTTTGAATATTAGCGGGATCGGCCACCCTCGAAAATTCTTGCTTCTCTCCCCCTCCGCGACGAGTCCTCCTCGTTCACGCCGCCTCACGTGCGCGCATACCTAACCTACCGATCGTTTTATACGCGAACACGATTTTCCAATTGCCCACCTCTCAAGTGATTGTCCATTACGATATTTCCAGGAATGCTCGCCACTTGCGCCTGCGTTTTTTTTTCTTTTTCCTTTTCTTTCTTTTTCTTTTTTTTTTTTTTTTTTTAATACCATCTCGTGTCTCTCAGTTGATCATCTTCCTCGAGGCCTGGCCTCTTGAATTAAACATCCACCGGAGAAGAATCAACAATTATCGTAAGCATTGTGTAACGAGCGAATAAGTATAGTTCTTGTATACTCGTTTAAGTAAGTAAGTAGTCTTCGGTGTTCCTCCTGGAATACGACTTGTTTTATCTTATTTTTCGCGTCTGATGTTTCTCGACTAAAATTAATCGTGTGTTTTTTTTTTTTTTCAGCTCTGATCAATCGGCAGGGAACGTTGGTCTCGATCGACGACGATGATCAACAATATCTGTTATGGAAATACCGGCCCTCGAGAACTCATTCTACGCTGTCTCGTCTTGTATTTTATCGTATACGTTATGCGTGAATATTGCAGCATGAAAATTTTCCACTCGAAACCTCGGCTATGATTAACCAAGCTCATTTCCAAGGGAGCAAGTGTCACGCGCATGAGTGACACGCAGTCACGGAAAGCGATGAAACAAGTTGGAAACAGAAGAAGCAGAGATTGCGTGAAGAAAAACGCTGTGAATCCGAAACGAACGACTGCCCGTATGTTTCGTGGCGCGACCGTATTTCGATGCGTAGGACGTAGACCTTATCTAAAAGCCACCGAAGAGGTACTAGACGAGGGAAGTACTCTCTCGCCGCTCCCGTTCGTTAATTCCTTTTCCACCGATAATCCACTCGTCGAAGCCGGTGGAGTTTCGGGCGTGCGGCGACTTCGAGAGGTCTACAAACAGCCTTAACTTGCCTCAACGCGTCCTTGCATTCTCCGCTTTCGCGTGTCACCCTTTGCTCGATTCCTTTTTGTCCTGCGATCTGCTTGCCCTCGCGAGCTGGACGCGACCACCGCGATTTCGCGAACGTTCCTTCGAGGGAAGCTTTTGGATTCCAACTACGTCGGGGTCGTTGAAAAAATTCGAGACACCCGATGGAAGAACTGACGTTGGCGAAATGAAAGATTTCCAGAGATTTCCAGAAGAAAATGAAGGATTATTCATTTGTCAACAGAGTATCTAATTGTATGAAAGAAAGTGTAAAGAGAAGCGAAATTTTTGGCGTTGAGTTGGGCACGTATCGATGTCTGAAATTGTATTCGAGGCAGAAGCGTACGGGCAACCGATGGCAAAAGATTTGACGCGGGAGATGAAGACGACGGGATGAACTCTGTCAGAGAGAATTGTTATTTCAAGGGAACGGCCTGTCCGTCAGTTCGTTTGTCCGTCGTTCCCGCAACGGCGCGGTGTGTAAACAGAGAAAGGGATATACATACACACACACACACATACATACTGACTGACTGACTGGTGTGTACTCGCAGAAACCATGGAAGAAAGAAATTGGTGGCGAACGCCGCGCCGATTCCCCGAGATGGCGAGAGGAACAACTTGTAGACTCACGTCCATCTATGAAAGAACTAGGCACTTCTTGTATTTCATTCATTTTTAGTTTAAATTTTATTTATTTGCTTTTAGTTTTTTTTAAATTAAAAAATATCCTCGCAGGAGAGACGATGTCCAAATGAACGGCTGCCGGCACGAAACGAATAAAAGGGAAACGGGGAGCAGCTTGTTTATCTTTGATTGGTACGTTGGAGCCAGTGCAAAAAGGCAGGCAGGGCCTGCAGGGGTCCGATCGAAGTTTGCTCAACGCCGAGGAAGGGAGAGCTTAGCTTTAACTTTCGATTAACTCGTGGTTAACTCTCGCTCAGCCTCAGGTAAATGAAACGTCTCCCGTTACCGTTCCCGAGCGAATCCACGAGTAACTCTGCGCTTTTCTTCTCCTTCGTAACAGGTACCTGCGTCATAAAAGTCTGCCGACAAAGACCTGTCGACACTTGGCTTCCACTAAGCTAATTGAGGGTAACAAGCTTCTTCACGGCCAACTTAACATTGACTCCCAGAATCGACGTTTCTCAAAGTCGATGATCGAACCGACAACCTTTCCCTTGCATTGCACAAACTATAAAGGAAACTAGACAGACAGATAAGCTTGCGAAATTGCTATTTTTGCTTTTCACTTTGGATACACCAGATGTGTCAATCTACAAATCTCGCCTTTTGTCGCGTGGACTGTTCATCTCTCGGTTTGACGTTAATTAGTGTATCGGATAGCGATAAATCTAGAAGGGGTGGGCAGTTCATCAAAGCGCGAGGCAGAGAACACGTGACATTTGGGAGGAACATTGAAGTACCTGTTTGGCTTATGCTCGACAGAGGCCGGGGTTCGGTACATCCGTTCGAGCAGGGAGTATGCGGTTAAAGTGGACGATTGATCAAGTTAGCGTAACGTCGTTACGTCGCGTACATCGAGGGTTCACGCAAAATCACCACCACCATCGCCACCACCGTGGTAAGCAGCCGACAGTATTGGACGTCAGCACCCTTCAGCGGTGGCCTCGCCAACTGTTTCCTCGGGCAATTTCATCTGACACCAACTTTCGACGGATTATCCGGCGGAAACCCTGCGGAGCCCCGGGGCTACTAGACGAGCTCACTCGGCTCGTTTCGATGTTGCTCGAAAGAAAGACGCGTGTAATTGACGAGAATTGCCACTCGAGGTGTTCTTGAACCGTTCCTGATCGGCATCCGCCCCGCCTCAGGGCTGCACGGACGATTTTCTTCTGGTCTATTGTTGTTAGGGGTGTACGGAGGATGTTGGTATTCTTCTTTATTCTTTTGGTCTGATTGAGCTAGTATGCCTTTCTATTGCATCATAAAATGCTTTGTATTTTTTAAAAGACCAGAAGAATATTATTTTGTTGTTATTTTGAAATACAGGGAAAGAATCACAGTAAGACACGATAAGGCCTCTGCAGAAATCTTCGACTAAAAGGAACACGACTTGGATACGACTGTTTGGAGAGGAAATTGACGCGAAGCAAAAAAAAAAAAAGAATCACAGGAAAAAGGGGATTGCATTTGCGAGGATTAACTTTGGACGAGCCTCCGCGCCGCAAAGTGCAAAGAACCGCAACGATGAGCTTGCGAATACCAGGATCAAGCAACGTCAAATTATGATTAGGGCAGTTAATTGTCTCGTGTTGACCCTCCTGAGTGGTGGCCCGTGAGCAAACACAATTCCTGCCTCCCTTTTGTTGTTTTAACTCAATACCATCGGCTGGGGATGACTTACCGATTACTACTAGGCCTGAAAACCTGGCAATTTCGACCGGGCAAATACAAATGACTTTCGAGTTTCTCTCTCTAACGAGTGTGTAAATTAATTTGCATTCAGTGTAAACGTCTTGTCCTTCGGTTCCATAATGAAAGTGATACACAGGTGGATATTTGAAATTGAAAATACCTACGTAACTTTAATTAGGTCGTCTCACTTGCTTGCTCATTGTGTCATCTTATTTTTAGTATAAATTCGTATCAGCATTATTTGTAAATCGTTTTGAACATTGTACGTTTAGCAACAGTTTGAGCCGGAAGATTCCAAAAAGTCACGAGGACTATTTTGACCAGCCCTTTTTGATCCTGATCGCACTTTCCCGCCCTCTAATTTCTTGGTCGTTTCACGGCCAAGGGATGATCCAATAGACACGGGGACGCGGATGTTTGCGGTTGGAAATGTATGCACCCTCGCGCGCCATCCCGAAATGCAGCCGGGATTACACAAAAGAAACGGGCCCGCGCCGTCGTTCTACAGGACGTGGCATAGAAAGAAATTGGTGGCGTATTACGCGACCGGCACGTTCGAGTGTATTTACAATACACTCGTAGAGCTGCCTCTTCGTCGCGATAATTGAGGCAAACACGGTGAAAAACTCATGAGATGCTGTATCGCGTAGAGCTGTCTGAGCTCGCGTTCAGAGAACAATCGGTTGCCGATTATTTTTCAAACAGCCAGAGACAGCTGTTTCGAGACGACAGTCACCGAGATAAGTTTCCCATCGCAATTAATGGACAATTTATGCAAAGTTTCGTTGCAAACAGCGTGAAAGTGGAAGCGAGCATTGAATAGAAGTAGGGAACAACCACGCGATTTCTATTTATCATTACGCAGTGGTAGGTATAGTCGTCTACGTTGGAATATAGGTAGTGGATCTCTTTTAATTTATGATTTTTACAGAATTCTGACGTTCTCTTAACCCCTTGCGCTGGAATGACGTAGTCTTGAGCATTTCTATCCAGTGATAACATACTGACGAATTTAAAAGAAAGAGAAAGCGATAAATTATTATATACGATTCGGTCGCTCGTTATGGTCCGCAAACCAGTTGCCAGCGCAAGGGGTTAAATATATCCCATTAAAAATTTACAAATGTCATTAAATCAATGGTGGATTGATTATTCAAGGTTAGCTCTTTCATCTCAAGTAAGAATACCAGCGCCTCCTACCGAACATTTGCGTTTTCATTGTAATTTTATTTTAGATTTTTTTCCTTTATTTTTTCGATTTTTCAAGATTGTAGACGGCCGTCTCGAGCATTCGTAGCTGATGAACGACTTTTTCAGAATTCTGAGGTTCTCTCAAGTATCCTAGTATTATACTAAAAATGTAAAGATTTAAAAATTTACATTTGAAATTTATTGTTTCATCTCGAGTAAGAACACTAGCGCCTCCTAGCGAGAATTTGCGCTTCCATCGTAATTCCGTTCTAGATCCTTTTTCCTTTGTTCGGGTCTTTTTTGTTTTTTCCAGATCGTGGACAGTCGTCTGAGGCACTCGTAGCCGATGAACGACTTTTGCAGTGACCTGTAGGTTTCACGGGAAGACGAGAAAAAAAGAAAAGAGGAATGCAATTACGTCGGCCACATACTGCCGGTGTGCTTGGCGGTGGGGCGGTACGACGCGCGGGGGCGGCCGCAAAAGCCGACGACATATTCATGCGTGCGTTATTATGCGAGGGAGCCGTGAGTGCACTCGAGAGATACGCGCACGCGTTCCACGACGTCCAATTAACCGTACGCATTTCGACACCAAAGGAATTTCACGCGCGTGGCCGCATAAATTTTCCAAGATTCACTTCCGATACGCTCAAACACGGCAATTGCCTGCATGTAGAAAATAATCAAACAGCAAGGAATATCCTTTTTTGGAGATTAGGTATACCTATCGTAGGAAGAAATCTGTTACATTAATGTAATATCTAGGGTAGGCCAAAAATCACTTTCTATTAAAATAAATCGGTAATTTTTTTCATTATATACTCTTTTTAATTTGCCAGCACTCTGGCGATCAACATTTGAAAGAAATAATTTTTATGAAAAAATCGTGTTTGAACTCGAATTTAATTTAAAATTAATAAAATTAGTTTTTCTCTTATATTTTGAATTAAAAAAAAAAAAAAAAAAAAAAAAAATAGGCGGGAAGTAACTTCTGGCCCATCCTGTACTAAGCCCATCCTCAACTAAATCCATCTAAAAGTAACGTTTCTACAAAATAGGTACCTGCCAGGAGAACTTTAATTATCTTTAACAGTATTAAATGCTATTTAGTGGGAGCCAAGCGCCTATGGATAATACTCTTTTCAACTGTGATGAACGATTCTCTTGTGTGAGCCTAAAAGAATGCAACGTCGACGCGCATGTGACCTTTGGTATAGTGTATGTCTAAGCATCCATGGCGAGAAAATTTCACGAGCGACACGTTCCTGCTGGTGTTCTGTCACGTCGACGATCCATTTCCCGTCTTTGGGACGAGGAGGCTGCCTCTCTCACTTCCTCCCTCCCCCCTCCCCCTCGACGCATCATCCCCTACCCCCTGTGTCTCTTTGGCACGGGACACACAGATGCGTCCCTCCATTTTGCGCTCGCATTGTTACTCCAAGTGCAGTCTCCCCATTGTTACAATGGCTGGCCACTCCTGGCATTGTTGCCGGTATTGTTATTATTATCGCTACTGTTACCGGTTGCGGCCGACCGGCGAATGGAGAAGAGGAGAGCCAGCTGCTTCGTCGAGTGCCGCATTAGAGGCAAATTACACTCCCTCCGGCCCGCCTCCTGTCTTATTCCCTCTTTTTTTCACCATCATCGCGCTAGGTCGGCTGTTTCACCTTTTCTCTCTCTCTCTCTCTTTCTCTCTCTCTCTCTCAGTTGCATTCCGCGTTTCACCCCTTTTCTCTTTTTTTTTTCCAAGCCTGAAATTTCGAACCGGTCGATCGGTTCGATCGATGTCCTCCTCCAGAGGATTTTTTTTTTTCTTTTTTTCTACCCTTCTCTGACACTGTCATCGTCGTTTCTCAATTTTTTTTTTTTTTTCAGATCCCTTCGATCACGAAACAATCTGTTTCGATTTGTAATTCAAAGAGCAAGACTCGACTAACCTAACCACATCCTCAATCGTGGTGAAAGAGAGAGGGGCGACGATCAAGAAAGCGCCGTAAAACGAGAAATCGACGTGAACCGAGAGATGTATAATTAATCGGCCGCTGTGCCTACGTTTATCACGAGTTAAACGAGCAATTTGGTGCAC